AAGCAGAGGATTGCGATCACGAGAGCCATCCTTAAAAACCCAAAAATTCTTTTGCTTGATGAAGCAACTAGCGCATTGGATTTGGAGTCTGAAAGGATAGTCCAAGATGCATTAAATAGGATCATGGTGGGGAGAACCACACTTGTTGTGGCGCACTGTTTGAGCACTGTAAGAAATGCTCACTGCATCTCAGTTGTTTCTAAAGGAAAATTAGTAGAACAAGGTAATTGCCTCTTGAGCACATTCTTTAGCTTCCTTTTGTGCAAAAAGGTTCAGAGAAAGATTATTCATTTATACCTATAAATGCAGGACATCATGATGAATTAGTAAAGGATCCTAATGGAGCATACTCTCAGCTTATATGGCTGCAAGAGAAACAAGAAAATGGCCGCATGTCAGATGCTAGATTATCAGGCTCAGCATCTAAAAGGAGTGTGTCACTCAGACGATCAATAAGTAGAAGTTCAGCAGGGAGCAGCCATCATTCTTTAAGCCTCCCCTTAGGCATTCCTGGGCCCACTGAGCTACTGGAGTATAACTTTGGACAAGGTGCCAGACAAATTGAAAACATTGATGACAAGGTACCAAATAAAGCACCAATGGGACGCCTAATTAACCTAAACAAACCAGAGGCTGCAGTTCTTCTGCTTGGGTCTATTGCAGCAGCAATTGACGGAGCTGTCTTTCCAACACTTGGTTTAGCAATGGCTAGTGCTTCCAAAATATTTTACGAATCACCAGACCAGCAGCGCAAAGATTCTATCCTTTGGGCATTGCTGTGTGTTGGCCTCGGTGCAACTGCTATGATATCAAAGATAGTAAATAGCTTTGTTTTTTGCAATAGCTGGTGGGAAGCTTATAGAACGAATCCGCGCTTTGACATTCCAAAGCATAGTGCACCAAAAAGTTGCTTGGTTTGACTATCCTGAAAATTCCAGGTAAGTAATGTATATTTTAATCTATTCACGGGACCAAACAATCAATATACTGATGGTCATTTGCATTATTAACAGTGGGGCGCTTAATGGGAGGCTATGTATCGATGCACTTAATGTAAGACGTCTAGTGGGAGATAACTTGGCCTTACTGGTCCAAAGTACTGCAACACTTATTTGTGGAATAGCGATTGCAATGGTCGCGGACTGGAAGCTTTCATTGGTAATTTTATTCGTAATTCCTTTAGTGGGTCTCCAAGGTTATGCTCAAGTGAAATTCCTACAGGGGTTCAGTCAAGATGCAAATATGCCAATCATGAAATGTTATACTGTTATGTTGTTCCCAATAAACCATAAATTATTATTTCCACAAGCTGAAACTTCGATTTGATAGATCCCTCATGCTGGCAAAAGGAAGACAAGTAATCATATTTAACAGTAATCACTGAATTAAATGTTGTCAATAATGCTTTGTTTTTCTATTGGATGTGGTCATGTGGGTGACACTCATGGTATTTTTCTTCCCTTCTCTGATTTTTACTATCGCATCTGGTATGTGCTTGTAGATAATGTATGAGGAAGCAAGTCAAGTTGCAACTGAAGAAGTCGGTAGCATCAGAACAGTAGCATCATTTTGTGCCGAGAAGAGAGTGATGGACAAATACAATCAGAGATGCCAAGCTTCTAGGGATCAGGGAATTCGAACTGGAATAGTTGGAGGCCTTGGTTTTGCTTTCTCATATATGATGCTATACGCCAGTGCCGCTCTTTGTTACTATGTTGGTGCAAAGTTTGTTAGTCAGGGCAAATCCACTTTTGGTGATGTCTTCAAGGTTAAGTAATAATCATTGTATTTTTACCTTTCTGGTGAACATATTATTTGATATGTATGTTTTGTTGGAATGCAGGCTTATTTTTCTTTAGTTATGGCCATGATTGGAGCATCACAAACAAGTGCTATGGCTTCAGACTCAGCCAAGGCAAATGATTCTGCTATTTCCATATTCTCAATATTAGATAGAAAATCCTTAGTTGATTCCAGCAGTGAAGAAGGTTCCACCTTGGAGAATGTCAAGGGTGACATTGATTTTAAGCATGTCAGCTTCAAATACCCATCCCGTCCCGATGTTCAAATTTTCACTGACTTCACCTTAACCATTCCCTCTGGAAAGGTCAAAACTATACCAGAAATCTAATTTGTCAATCTTCTCTCAGTTGTTATGAGGACTTAATTTTTTATGCCATCATTTTTCTGAGGTCTTACACAGAACCCTTTTATTGCAGACAGTTGCGCTTGTTGGTCTAAAGTGTTCGACAAATTCTACCGCTCTATCAAGCAATCACATCTGTTGCCCTCGGAGATGGAAACAACTGCTCCTTTTGGTCTGACGTTTGGAATGGAGATGAGGCTCTTGCTGACACTTATCCGGCAATCTTCAGCCACTGTACGTTCAAGGAGGCTACGGTCTCCCAGATGATCAACACCGGACTGCAGAGGACTCTGGTTCCGCGCCTGTCTCAAAGGGCACACTCGGAACTGCATCATCTACTACAGATCATCAGGGAAACCACACTGTCGCAAGCACCGGACCAACGGAAATCATTATTTACTAAGGGAGAGTCAGGGTTGGACAGTACTGCTATTTACAAACTGCTGAAGGCCAAGGGACAACCTGATGATCCAAGGGCCAATTTTGTCTGGGGCAACCATGCGCCACCTAGAGTGCAGCTATTCATGTGGCTTCTACTTCAAGGAAGAATTCATGCACGATCGGTGCTACATAAAAAGAGAATACTGGTTGATAAAACATGTGAGGTATGTAACGAGCAAGATGAAACACCTGAGCACATAATCAACGGCTGCCACATTGCGACTATGTTCTGGCAGAGGCTTCAGCTACCGCAGATGCTGCAGCTCACAACTCAATCTCTGCATACCATATCAACGAATGGAGGAATACCCACCGAAGAGTTCTCGGCCTTCATTGCGTTGGGTTGCTGGCAACTCTGGAAGATCAGGAACGCAAAGGTCTTCAGACAAGAATCAACTTCGGTTGATCAGCTCATAACGAAATGCAAGACTGCTGCTCAAGAATGGAGGTTCAGACTTCCAACAAAGAGAAAGCAAGTCGCCGACATATGGTGTAATAGATTCGAAATGGCTAGAACCGGCCAGGGCTGAAACGTAGGATCTTACGCTGTCTGAACTGCTTAGAATACGGCAAGAGCCGAAGTGCTTCCTAAAACTATATCTGTAAATTATATCTGTAAATTATGAGGACATTAAGAGCCTCACCAATCAAATAAATCAGGTGGGAAACACCTCCCCCCGTTGACCGTCAAAAAAAAAGTGATAGTGGAAAGTCCACAGTCATATCTTTGTTAGAGCGCTTCTATGAACCAGACAATGGTGCGATTTTATTAGATAGAGTGGAAATTAGTAGCCTAAAGGTCAGCTGGTTGAGGGACCAGATGGGATTGGTAAGCCAAGAACCAGTGCTTTTCAGTGGAACAATCCGTGACAATATACAGCATGTTCGCTTGCTCGTAAATGATCGTAAATTTCCAGCCGGAAACAGTGTTTTTGTCTCATACTAAACCAGCCAGCAGTAAATAATCCACGATACGATACGGCCTCCCGAACAGGCTGATAGCCTACGGAAAGCATGAAGAGGTAACAGAAGAAGAGATTGCCGCAGCTGCCAGAGCAGCCAATGCCCATGAATTCATCTCAAGCATGCCACAGGGGTACAATACAACTGTTGGAGAGAGAGGAACGCAACTGTCAGGTGGCCAAAAACAGCGAATAGGGCCTTGTTTAGATCACCTCCAAATTCTAAGTTTTTTCACTCTCTCTCCATCACATCAATTTTTAGCCGTTTACATGGAACATTAAATGTAGGTAAAAAAATAACTAATTGCATAGTTTAGTTAGAAATCACGAGATAAATTTTTTGAGCTTAGTTGGTCCATGATTGGACAATATTTACCAAATAAGACGAAAGTGCTACTATTCATCGTGTTGAATTTTTTTACAATCATGGCCTAGCTATCGCGAGGGCAATCTTGAAGGACCCAAGGATACTTCTTCTGGACGAGGCAACAAGCGCATTAGATGCTGAATCAGAGAGCATCGTGCAGGATGCATTAAATCGTGCTATGGTTGGCAGGACAACTGTCATTGTGGCACACCGCCTCTCAACAATCCAAGGAGCTGATATGATTGCAGTCCTAAAGGATGGCACAATTGTGGAAAAAGGGAGACATGAGACGCTGATGGGCATAGCTGGTGGAGCCTATGCTTCACTTGTGGAACTTCGCACCATGTAATATAATATAGAGTTCTGAGCTAAGCAATTGATGGCAATTCTCTTGTCAAGATTTAACAGTTTATGAAAGAAGTTTAGGTGAACACCTATAAGTTTGCTAGGGGTAGGGTAGGGTACCCATTGCAGTTTTGTACAGTGTTCCCAATCCTGTATTTAAGTTATCAAAGAGCTAAGTGTTGAGTACTACAACGATCAATACTATCTAGAACACTTGTTAAACAAACAAGTATAAACAACCATATGGATCACTTGCATTGCATTTACCTTGAATAGCATTTTAAGTTCAAGAAGCTACACCTACAGATGCAAACTAGCAAAAACAAAAGATTTCGAACAGTGGCATGCCTGTGAAATCACGAAGAGGAATGATTGTCGCCTCATGTGGGACGAATCATACTGTCAAACGCCATAGTGCAATCTGCAATGAGAACAATTACCATCAACAGTTGCTCAATCTCTGTTTGACGCCCGTTTGCATTACTGCTGGCGAAACCCGGAAATGGTAGCCCCTAGCCAGGCGGTAATTCGTACTACTAGGCTATTAAATACCGAACCGTTGGCTCCTCGCATACGACCTCAGCGGTGGAAATCACAGGAATGCGATAAGGGCCTGTTTGGTTGCCCGCCATCATCTGCCACGCCTAATGTTAGGCTTGCCACAGTTGCTTTGGTGAGTGTTTGGTTGATGATTCAAGCAAGGCTCGCCACACTTCAAACCAAAGCTCGCCACAGGTTTTTACGCCAAATGTGTGGCGTCCGTTTCATCCGCCTCCACCACAGACCCTGCTGCCAACGCCTCCCTCCCGGGCCATCCCCGCCCACCACGAGCCCGCTCGCACTGGGCACTGGATGCACGGGCCCCAGCGTGCCACACCACCGCGCCCAGCCTGTTGCGGACTCGAAGACGACGAGCCTGTTGCGACTTGCGGCCGCTGCTCGTCCTGGTCCCGGTGGCCGGCCGCACGCTTGTAGGTGGTGGCCGAGCACGGAGCCCGTCGGTGGTGGTCGTCCATGGCGGAGGTCGGACTCCTGCTTGATTTGATTTGAGCGTCCGAGGACGGCGGCATGCAGATGCGAGCTCTGAGAACGGCGGCGCGGCGAGCTCCGAGGGCCCGGAGTGCGGGAGGGCAGGCATGGCTGTACCTTGGCGAGGAGGGCGGGCGGCCGTTCCGTGGGAGTTGCCGGCGCAGGCGAGGCGGACTCGCCCACGCCATTGCTGTGGCTGCGAGAAGCTTCCGTGCGCCGTGGAAGGATAAAAGGCTCCCGTGGAGATTTTTTAAAAAGGAACCCGTGGTGAAGTGAGGAAGATAAGGCGGGCGGTGGATAAGGCGCCCAGCCGGATCAGACAGAGGAGAGAGAAAAAATAAAATAAGTGAGGCCTGGTTTAGATTTAGATTGCAAATTTCTACAATCCGGACAATGTAGCACGTTTCGTTTGTATTTGATAAATTTTGTTCGATCATGGACTAACTAGGCTCAAAAGATTCGTCTCGTGATTTACAACCAAACTGTGTAATTAGTTATTTTTTTTACCTACATTTAATGCTCCATACATGCGTCCAAAAATTGATGTGATGGAGAGAGAGAGAAAAAACTTGAAATTTTGAGATAATCTAAACAAGGCCTGACAAAGAAAATAAAGGAAGAAAAGAAAAGGAGAAAAAAAAGATATTATAGACATGCTTAATACTATGATTAATTACCTACATCGTTGTTTGCTATCCTTTTGCTACACTAATCTAAATATCCTTTCCAATAAAATCACGTGGCTACAATCCAAACGGTTACCATAATTTTTTGACTAACATTTGTAGTAATAAATTAAACAACAGCCACATTGCTTTTGTCATATACTCCCTCCATCCCAAATTGTAAGTTATTCCAAGAATCTTGGAGAGTCAAATTTTTTCAAGTTTGACTAAAATTATAGAGAGAAACACAAAGATTGATGACATCAAATAGGTATAATATGAAAATATAACTAATGAAGAATCTAATGATACTTACTGGGTATGATAAATATTATTATTTTATTATATAAATTTGGTCAAACGTAAAAAACTTTGACTCTCCAAGATTTTTGGAATGACTTATAATTTGGGATGGAGGGAGTATTAGTTATCAACTAAACACTTTAAATTTAACACAGATTATGGCAGCCACAACCGTAGCTTGTATCGTGGCTAGTTGTGGCAAAGATGCCAGAACTTCAGAAGGCCATACCGCAGCTAGCGTACTCCGCGCGCGCGGGAGGAGACGTGGAGGTGTACGGCGCGGCCATGCCGGATCCGCGGTACAGGCAGGCCCGAGGGGAAGGGAAGAGCCTTGCCGCAAGCGCCGGACACGAGGATCGCCGCTGGCCGGCCGGAGTCGGGAGTGGGACCCGCGGGGACGACCGGCCGAGGGGTTGTTGGGCCGCCAATGGTAATGGGCTAATTGATAGCCTGCTAAGTTTATGCTTTTCGTTAGCCCAGGCCCACTAATGATTTCACCTTATGAGCATGGAAACGGGATCTGGCCTTCCCGCCACCACCACCTGTGATGCCCGATGCCGGCCACCGCCACGGTACAGCGCCGCCGCCGCCGCCCGAAGAAGTTTCCCTACAGGCCAAAGCCCCCGCCGGAGCCGCACCCTTTCCTCCTCCACCTCAAGTCCCTTCCTTCGCCCTTGGCCGCCGCGGCCTCGCTCCTCTCCGCGCCGCGCCACCTCCACGACCACCCTTTCGCGGCGTGCGTGCTGTACCGCCTCGCGCGCGCGCGTCTCTTCCCGCTCGTCCCGCCGCTCCTCACCGCGCTCCGCTCCCTCCACGTCCCGCTGCAGCCCACCGCGTTCGCCGCCCTCATCGACCGCCTCGGCGCCGCCTCCCGGCCCGACGCCGCGCTCCACGTCTTCCGCGCCGTCCCGGCCTTCTGCTCCCACTCCAACGCCACGTTCCACGCCCTCCTCCACTCCCTCGTCTGCAACGGCCGTGTGGAGTCCGCGCGGGACATGCTCCCGGAGGCCCCTAAGCTCGGCGTCCGGACCAACGCCGTCTCCTACAACATCATCCTCAAGGGCGTTTGTCACCGGGACGGGTTCTCGGGCGCACGCGTGGTGGTCGACGAAATGCTCGCCCGCGGCGTGCGCCCCACGGTGGTGACGTTCAATACGCTGGTGGGCTCGGCGTGCCGGGAAGGGGAACTGGCCGCGGCGGAGCGGCTCGTGGACGAGATGGCGCGCCGGGGTGTGGCACCGAACGCCGTGACGTACGCCCTGTTAATGCAGGGGCTCTGCGACGCCGGGCGGTACGACGACGCCAAGAAGCTCTTGTTCGACATGGAGTACCGGGACTGCCAGCCCGACGTGACGAACTACGGCGTGCTGATGAGCGCGTGTGCGGCGTGCGGGGACGCCGGCAGCATTAGGGGGCTGATCTCCGACATGCGCAAGCGGAAGCTGACGCCCGACGACGCGAGCTACAACGTCCTCATCAGGTGCCTCTGCGACGCCGGCAGGGTCGACGAGGCACATAGGGCGCTGGTCGAGATGCAGCTCAAGGATGGAACCGCGCCGAGCGCGGCCACCTACCGCGTCCTCCTCGATGGGTGCTGCGAAGCGCGCGACTTTGACCTGGGTCTGCGGGTTTTCAACGCGATGCTGGCGAGCGGCCATTGCCCTCTGGCTCCCACGTTCAGGCGCCTGGTGAGAGGGCTCGGCGAGGACAGCAAGGCGGAGGAGGCCTGCTTCGTCTTGGAGCAGATGGGGCAGAGGGGGATGCGGCTGGATGCACAAGGCTGGCAGTCTGTTGCTTCATGCGTTTGCAGCAGCATCAGCGCAACTGAGATGAATCTCGTTGATTATCTGGTGTCATCATCTTGATATTCAGTTCGAGTGACATTGTTCTGCTGCTGTATTTGACTTCGATAATCGTCAGGAGCCAACCGCTAAATGTGTCAAAAAATCTCTTCTTTCTGCTTATATATGTTGCTTGTTTCACGTTAGAATCATCCCCTTTTTGACCCAGGAAAGCCAAAATATGGATCTTGTTTAGTACTTCAAGACAGTAACAATAGAAACATTTAATTAGTAATTACCAAAGTGACATCTCCCTTGCTGCATTACCTAAACGGTTTCTGTGTCAGCAAACGCAATATCCTAACTATTTTCTAAATAATAATGCCCTCTGCAGTTCACTCTGAAGTGCAAACAGAAAGAAAAATTGAAGCGGTTGATCAATGAGACATTTCTCGTGGGCAAAGATGTACAACAGATTTTTTTACAAAAAGGTTTATATATAATAAGTCATCAATAGAATTCGTGTACAAGCCAAATCCTAGCTATTCCTTATACAGATTTCCCAATGAAATAAGCGACTGCACAGCCAACAAGTGCTCCTGCAAAAACCTGCAGTGACAAAATAAAGAGAATGAAAACAATCTAAGGTAGAAAATAAAAGAGGTGCAGAAACATATAATGATAATGCAGCAACTGACAATTCAACAGTTGTAACCTAAAAATACTAGCCATGGGCCAAGAACGAAAATTTTGTTTTCTTGGTTAGCATGAAATATTCCAGAATAGATTCTGGAATACAAGGCACAGTTAAGGAGACACATTTGACATGCAATGCAACATTTATTATCATTTGGCCATTTGCTATGCAGAGGCAATAGTATAATACAAACGGGCACCAAATCAAAGATGGATCATTCCACCACCAAGCTTCATTTCAAGAAGAGAACTCAACAAGTACCATATTAACTATGTAAGGAATAGATGTAGGGATGCAAATGGGGTTTATACTTGAACCCGCAAATAGGCCACTTTAAGGGGACCATTCGCGGACCACTTGCATCCATGAATAGAAGATAGGAGTATGTAGTAGAGCTACCTGAAGTGGGCTGTGTCCAAGAGGTTCCCGTAGTGGCCTAAAGGTTGAAATGATTGGATGTTCTGGTGGGAAATCACAGACTATTTGATTCAACAACTGCAACAAAAGTTTTAGACTTAATTAGAAGACAGGCACCAATAGATGAAGTGACGACATTCAACTGACAACACTGTGCAATAGAACAGTGCCTTATGCTTGCATTATCCATGGAAAATCACAAGCTTACCGCAGCTTGGCGACCTGTGTGCCATCTAATTCCTGATGCATCATACATTACCTATATGAAGAAAACGTAAGCTTAGGACACATTTAAAAAATTGAAAAAAAGGCAGCTAACATTTATTTATCTATAGAACAGGCTCATGTGAATATGCTTGCAACAAAACCTAGTTGTTTTTACATTCTCTTTTTCCTAAACAACGATAAAATACTTAAGTAAACCAGGGGAAAACATATTAGTCAGAGTGAGTGATGGCACCAGTGGACATCAGCTGGCATGGTTCCAGAATGCAGAAGCTCTTATCCGCATAATATAAAGAACTTTGTCAAATTGACATGCGAATGGCTTTGGCATGAAAGTGCATGGAAATGTACAACTGAGACAAAATGAATGTTGGCCACTAGTGCAAGTCAGCCACTGCCATAAACGATGTTCATATTCATCATAAATAAAGTGGATGTGGAGCAATGTCAACATTACTATCTCCGATTATTTAATGTAACACCCTAAAATTTGCTTCTTTCGAAATAGATATAAATTGATTTAATTTTGAATCTTTGTGCTCATGAAACATAGGAAAAATAATACTTTTATTAAATTAAAATTCATCATAGGGTTTAGAACATGGTTGTGCATACATGCTGGTGCATTATATATTAAGCATTGTCTATTGATATTACCTCTATTTATAGCCATATGTGTGATTTGACTTCCTGGGCTCACATATGGTGTGTATCTGGTTTTGTTCTTAAAACCAGGTGCTACATTTAAAAAATAAGAAAGAAAGAAAGAAACATGCCCATGCCCAGCAAGGCTAAGAGATCAACTATTGGTTGAATTTGTACTAAAAACCCTACTTTTATAAGCAATAGATGATAACTAAAAACTACTACTGTGTAGGAAGCAAATTAGATGCCAACATCTACAGAAAAGGGCTTCGAAGGTTGCAGCACCCACATGCTTACAAAAAGAAATTCGTAGGATCTGATTGATTTAAGTACATACAACGGCAGCAAAAACCAATGCGAGGGCAAATGCAGAGCTATCTGCGCCTTCTTGTTGAGCCACAGCGACAGCCAAGCTCCCCACAGTTGCAGAAAGAGATGACATGACTCCAGCTGAAGTAAGAAATTTCCTTGCATCCCACCTCTTCTCTTTTAACCTGCAATGTCTAGGAAGAACAAATTACGGATTACTGGAACAGCACTGCAAACTCTCTAGGTTTAAAACTCCATACTTAAAATCTCAATAGTTCTGAACATCCAGCTATATCCGATTGGCCCTGCGTTAATGGCTCAAAGTCCTATTCAGACGTAGTTACTGTTGAAAACATACCTAGGGGGCTCAGTTTGAAATTTCGCAAGAGGAAACAGTACAATCGGACTTTCAAGCAAGTAGTGCAATCAAAACTACTCTCGTGCAACATGTCTGTCAGGTGTCAGCCTTGCCCCAGTGTCATACTCGCATAATGACAAGAGTTATTCCTAACAAATCAGAGTTACTGCCATAACCCATGAGGTTACTGACGTGCTATACAGATGGCAATCTTCTCTACATCCTTACAACAAATGTCAGCGTTCATCTCCAGCTCGAAATTAAGCTTCGTGAAAGTAAAGTTCATTCCTTGCTTCGACAAGGCATCACACGACACGAGAGGAAACCCTCAATCCAAGCCTTCCGCAGGAGAGAAAAAAACTAAAATTTCCCCAACCAAACCCCAAACCCGATCGCAACCACCACCTAGAACGCGAACCGACAGGGACACAGGAGCAATCGCGTCGGAAGCAACGACCAAGGATCGATCACCCCCGCGCGTTAGATTTAGATCTTGGAGAGGGGGAAGCGGGGAACGCACCAGATGGAGAGGAGATTGACGAAGTTGGCGAAGGCGAAGGCAAGGAGGGCGACGGCGAGGGGGAAGTTGCCGCCTCCGCCCCCGCCGATAGCGCCCGAGACCCCCGCTCCGGCAACCAGGTCCACCGCCGCGGCCGCCCCCGAGGTGGCCGTGGACGGGGCCGTGCCGGCGCCCCCCGCGCCGGTCAACATCTCGCTGCCCCTCATGGCGCTGGGTTGGTAGTCTGGCTCGCTCACTGGCTCCCGGCTCCCGGCTCCCCTCCGTTCCGTGCCTCGTCTCGTCCGTCGCTTCGTTCGCTTGCAGGCAGTTTGTAGGGTCGGGACTCGCCGACTCGGGTTGGTGCTGCTGCCTGCCGGTGGCGTCGTGTCTCGCGTATTCTCTGCGCGTGGGGCTTCCTTGCCAGTGGGTGCACGGCTGTTTGTCTCCGCGGGTTCAGCCAAGCCACGAACGACTCCACAAGTGTGGTCAGGTCAACAAGAAAAAAGGGAGAGAAAAAAAAGTCCACAAGTGTGGTTATTACAAAATCCAGGAGGGGGTCACTCCATGTCATGGATTTGATCTTGTTCACAATCCAACTTGAAAATAGCAAAATCATGTGCTGCACTCAAGAGACCTTTAGAATGCAGGGGGGTTTTTTTCCTATTTTGTATATTTTTCATGTGAAAATGAAGTGATCTCTATAGAATTTATGTAAATATTTTTTTGAAATTCCTATGTTTCAAAGTGGCCTTTAAATTATTCGTTTTTGGCTGAACTCCATGATCATTATGGTCTCGGGCCATAATAACTTATACACCGTTTAGATGTAGATATTGAAGTCTGAAACTGAGGATTTGAATCATCTCCTAAATTTTGTTGTTTGGGTATCCATGAAATTGAGGTTTAGAAATGCAACCTCCCATACCTTTGGTATTGGATTACAATTAGAAGTGGCTTCTCCCAATAGAGAGGGATAAGGCTCTATATTGGCATTGGGTGAAATTGGGCCTCACCTCCCGTGTCCGGCTCTCTCTCAACATGTGCCCCCGATCCTCAGCGCCTCCTCGTCATCAGTCGACCACCGCCATTGCCTCCCAGCTGACACCGGTCACTGCCCCGACACTAACCTTGCCAATAAATTGTTGGAGAGAAACGGATTACAAAGACCAAAGTTTTTTTCTATTTCAACGCTGACCTTACCACCTCCAATGCTATTCTATCCACCTTGTCATCCTCCCCTCTAGACAAAATCTTCTCCCCTAACAAATTCACACTTGTTTTAGCGAAGATTTCAGGTGCTTTGAAATATATAGGCATGCTTTCCTTTTGGGAAAAAATCAGTTACAACCTTTTTATAGCATTATGTGAGTAGATAAGCAGGGATCAAGACCTCTATTTTAAAAAATTACTAAACACAGGTTTGAGGTTTCTGCATCTTCTTCTCTATACAGTGCTTCAACAGTAACTGGTATTTTCTCTCTTAATGTATGTACAACAAAGGGTTGTATCGATCGACACATTAGCCTCAGTCGATCAGATTGAGGAGACAGAAACACAAGCTTGTGGCTCATTCCATCGATTGGTTGAACAAGCCAAGATTTCTTTTCCCACTCACAGAGCCTCAACAGGTCATTCTATCCTGTTGTACATATCCAATTGAAAATAGTATTTAAAGTATAGAAAGAGATCAATTGTTGTATATAATAAGCTCTAAACTTATCTATTGATGGCTTAATATGATTTATAGATAAGTTTTATTGAGCTTGCTCTTAAGCATTGTTGTTCTCTCCTTCGCCTAATAAAGATTAGATTAATGCAACAAAAGTCGTAGAGAACAGCGTAGCTCTAAATTTATTTTAACTTGGTCGCTAGATAAGATGTGATAGGCTGGTAGCATAGGATTGCCACGTGGGACGTTTGAATGTGATGTCCACCTGCCCCAGAAGCTGCCTGCCTGGCCCATTGCCGACACTGGCAGGATTCCATCGTTGCTTTTCCTTAAATAGACGCACGTTTTCTGTTTTTCCCGAATCGCGATACACGGTACTGTACTTGACACTAGCTGCCTCCGTCCACACGAATACCACGAAAGCGACAATATATTATACATAAAATATACTTTCGAATAGCACGTACCAAAGCGCATCTGAAATGAACCGGGACCACCGGTGACAATGTGACATCGACTCTGACAACAGCCTTACTATAGCTCGTAGTACACGTTCTGCAACTCTGGGTGCGCAGTTCACCTACAACAACTGAAATGCTAGTAGCGCAGACACAACCACATTCTGCAACTCTGGGTGCGCAGTTTACATACACAACAGAAATGCTAGTAGCGTAGACACAACAGCACAACAGCACACGTTTTTATTCTGACGAAGATCCTCTACTTCTAGGCTGAATCACCGGTCTAGAAGACAGCCATTCTTATTCCGAAGAGGCCTATGATGCCAGGCCAAATCACTTGGTCGCAATGAACAGCCCCCACCTCTGCTCACCGGCAGAGCTCCGTTTCAGCTTCGCGTTCCAGCCGTTCACAATGTCGTCATAGTCCTCCTGCCAACAGGTGGAATTGGAAAAATCAGAGGTGCAGGCGCCCAAAAGAAGCATAAGCACAAGTTAGGGAAGCCATGGAGCAATAAGCTCCTCGATGCATCACCTGGGTGAAGTCTGCCAGGAAAGCCTCTTTGTTCTTTTCAACTTCACCTAGCTCCCTCCGTAGCACATTCAGGAACTGAAAAAAAAATAGCATATGGAAATGGGTAAAATATTGATGACATAGTTGGTTCCTAAGAAAATTGAAGGCATAGTGGTAAAACACAAGGTTGAGGTCATGTATCATTGTATCAAATCTTCTCTCAACTTAAAAAATCAAAGATATTCAACCCCTTATATCAGTTTTCAACTTCAACAAGCATTATAATAAAAGGAACTGCTCAACAACAAGAGGATTTTCAGACAGGGAGATAACCTGCTCAGTGCGATCTTCTGCAATGACATCATGAAAACCAGCATCCTTGAGCATCTGGGTTGTCATATAACCAGTCGTTAGAGGAGCTCACCCTTCTGATCCAAATATTCCAGTTCAACTAGACAGATAATTCGTGGCTGTAACAGTAGAAACAAACCTGTCCATAAGCCTTCACGTCGTGAAGGTCATAACCTCTCTGCTTAATGTACGCCGCAAATTCCTCTGATGGTTTTCCAGGATTCTTACAGTAGTCACTGATTAGGACTTTGCCACCGGGTTTTAGCCATTTGAAGAAGCTTCTGAACAGAGCAGGCTTGTCCTATAAAACAAAGCGGGGCATTTGTCAGGAATATGGATTTTGATGCTAACTTTAATGTTCAGATGTCATCAACAATCTAAAGGACGGCATCTCAAATATTTTTTCCTGAAACCAACTTCGAGTACATTTGTCAATTTGGTATATATACAGGGATCAATAGGAGTGACACAACTTAAGTTCTTTTTATCTGAAGATGCATTCCTTCGATTCCATTCCATGATATAACTGTGGAAATAAGTACTAATTACTTACAAGGAACATCATTGAATTATACAGAATAAAACATACTTGTATGTGAAGGATGGTGTCACGGCTGTAGATGACGTCGAAACTATTTTCTGGGTAATCCTTTGTGGTGCAATCAGCAACTTCAAATTCAACAGAGCACTTGCGTCCAATGGCACGTTCAATTGCAAATGAAACCATGTTAACCGAAAGATCAATACCAAGAACATGGACATCATAGTTTTCAGCCATGTAAAAGTCGCCGCCTCCAATTCCACATCCGACATCAAGTACTTTCTGGCCAGGTTTAAGATTCAGCATGCCCACAAATTCCTTTGTGGTCTCTGTTCATGAAACAGGTATATTGTGTGATTTATGTATATCATAAATGATTGGCGAGTTAACAGTAAGACAAGGTGTGGGCTCACCGACTCCACCAGTGCTCACAAAACCTTCACCAAAGACACGCTCATAACGTAAGATTCCACTTGTTTTGTATTGCACGTTGTCCAGAAATCTTTGAAAATCTCTGTCTTCTGTTGATTTTACCTTTTCCCATAACCAACACATCTGTTGATATTATTTACTTATGCTAGTCAGTAATTTCAATTTGACTGAAACAACACAAGAGTTAACAAGCGCATTCAAGAATAACAAAGTACCTGGTTTTGATTCTTCTTGTTTTTGACATAAGCCCCAATACATTTACAAGTCACTAGAGAAAGTTCAAAAGAACCTCCATCTTGATCAAATGAATGGCCCTCTTTAAATACCTGCGTACATAAAAATATTAGCTACTGGAAAACAATGATAGAGTATGGTTTATTAGTGACCAACTGACTGTATATATGAAAGATAAAACCCAGCTCTCTTGTACCTTAGTATAAAACCTTGGTTCTCGATAGTGTGTTGGGTTCACCTTCCTTTTGGAATCTCCAGATTGGTGAAAACATGATTCTCTAAAGAAAATATGGCCTCCGACCTTTAACCATTTTACCATTTTCCCCACAAGCTTTTCGACCTATAATATGAGATAACAGTTAAAAACTTACAGTAAAGAAAAGCGAGGTTTTAAGTATGGATTTTTTTTTCCAAAAAATGTTTAGACCTTTCGAGTATGGCTGTTGTTTATTGAAGTGAGACAAGATGAAAGATGGAAGAGATTGGTGCATGTAAATATTTTATACTTCTTCTAAAAGGAGAGAGTGATCATAGCGCACCAGCATTCATAACTCATAAGTATTTCCGGTTCTTACCTCCTCGTCTGAAAGGTACATTAACAGCCAGTTTGAAAATATCAGATCAACAGAGTTATCTTCAATCTTCAAGTCGTTAGATGTTACATCAGCACACTTGAAGGTTATGTTCTTGTGATGTCCATTTATGCTTTGATTCTACAAGAAGAGAAAGAAGTGAAAACGTACTTATGTAGCTACGCACATAAGTATTTCAGATGCATGAGAATTCAGAGGTAGAAAATCCACCTTCTTAATCACACTTTCAATAAAATCTAGCGCTAGAACGTGCCCAGCTTCTTTTGCCAGATCTCCAGTAAAGCGTCCTATTCCAGCACCAAGTTCTAGAACTGATTTCCCTTTGTAAGAAGGAAGCAAAGACAGGATCTGCAGATCAGTAGTGAAAATTAGCCCTCCAGGTAAATAATATTAAATAGTGTTTTTTGTTTTGACAAAAAGGAAGGAAGAGCAAGAAGCCATGTCTTAGTTACAAAAAAAAATGTGTTCAGTAACAATTTTGTTATTTTTTCTCGAATACACAAAAAAGCTTGTATATCTTTGTATTAAGGTCGAGAAAGTTTTTTGAAGTACAACGACGCGCCGCACCCCCGGCGCACTAGGGAGGACATAAAAGTTTACAAGACGCTCATTCCTCCCTAGCGGACTAACAATTTTGTTATTCATTTATTATGATAATATGTGGCCGTAGCAAAAGCAAGATGTATCATGTAAGTGACCGCTTGGAGGCTAAGTGACATGGAAATCATAATAGCTACTAGTAACAAAATAATGGGGGCAGTTTCAGCGTGAGAGGACCACAGATTGGGAAGGTGGACGCGCTAGATATTTTACAACACAGAGATGTAGCAGTAGGACCCTTGGTTTCGCTAGTTTCAATTATAACACTATGACCTCATAAGCCTCCAAGTCAATTGTACCGGTTCACAATTATTATTATTATTTATACAGGCACGGGTATTATCATTTAGTTTAGTGCACATCTCTGTTGAGCTCATATTAGCAAGCACGTTGACCATCGTCAAGCCACATCACAAGCACCAGGCACCATTCTAGTGCAATTGGCTAATTGGCTAGGTGTCTACTCTTGAGGAAGTTCAGTTTTGAAGCAGTGATCTGCTGATCTCAGGACATAATTGGAATGGAGAGCATAAACACTCAAAAAGCAAGTGTCAGCATCAGTGTCTCTGCCTCAGCTGTCAGCTCTAGTGCTTTATTCAATTTTTTTTCACGTTTTCATTGATCAATATATCTCTGATGTGACTGTCCTGGAAAAAAATTACTGTCCAATTATGTACGTTTCGAGGAGTTGCTGTCAACTTTTTTCAGGGGGGTGAAAAGAGACCATGCCATGCCATTACAGCACGGACCAATCATTTTCTGCATCCAAGATATGGCAAGATTCCGGTATCGGTATGGACAGAACATAACCCACAAAAAGGTAATCATTCAGCAGCAGCAGCAGCAACGGAAACGACTCAGTGATAAACTGATAATACGTAGAATGAGGGAGAGAAGAGCCAGAGAGGAGGAGGATGATCATGCAGCACCTCGGGTCGCTCCTCCTTGTCGAGGTCGGCGGCGCGGGAGTCGAGCATCATGGACTCGACGGTGAGGTCCTTGGAGTGCTCCTCCCAGTAGCTCTTCTGCACCTTGCGCTCCACCTCCCCAATCCCTGCATGCACGACGCAGCGCCGCCATCAGCACCGCCCAAAATAAACCCAAAACCCATGTCAGATCGCATCAACCTAGAAGAGTACTCAACCTACAACCCTTCCCGTCCGCCCACCACCTGTTCAACCCGGCACTACGGCGAGAAACAGTGAGCGGATCGGCCGTCAACTTACCATTCGCAACAGCCACCACGGGGACGCCATTCGCAACGGCCACCACGGGGACGCCGACGGCGGTGTCCATCTCGACTCCTCTTCCTTTCGGAGAGCGTACGGACGGTGGTGTGGTGGGTTTTATTTCTGTTCTGTTCTCTTTCGTTGTTGTCTACGGCCGGCGTTAGAAAAGCTGCAATAACGCGAGAAGAGCCGGATCGAGGGGCGTGTTTTCGGTTGCGCTGGTGGCGTGTGCGGCGGGCTGGTGCGTTCAGGCGCCCTCGACGGCGAGGCGGGAGCGGGAGAAGCCGCGGGAGCGGCAGTTGTGGGCGAGGCCCCGCTGCTGCATCAACCAGATCACCAGCGCCCGACCGCCCGGACCGGACCAGCGCGCGCGGCGGCGGGGGGAACGGGAGCGGGTCGAGAGGGCGGGGGAGGTCCGCTCGCCGGGTGGAGATGAGAGCGGAGTGGGCTGCCTGGTGTGATGGGTGAAGGGGAAGGAGCGGCGAACGGGTCCTGCGGAGGGGGGCGGGGCTTTATAGGCGCGCGGCGGCGAGGCAGGGCGGTGGCGGAGTCGAGAATCCCCGTGGAGATCTGGGTGGGGCAGGGCGCGCCCTCGGATCGCCTGCTCCCGTTGGAACAGCCGCGCCGTGGCCGTCCGTCCCGTTTCGTCGTCTCGGTCTCCTCGGTGACTGATGATTGGTCTCTGCTGCGTCCCAGTGCGGCTGTGCGGGTGCGGCCGAACTGAATGGCCGAGGCAGCTGCCGTATGCTGCTACGTTCTATTGCTGACGCCGTGGACCAGAGATAGGCAGATAGCTAGCTGATTGCACATGATGATGCATGCATGCATGTGCTCCGCTCTTCCCAGCTTTTTTCAATCAATCAAGAAAGAGAGTTTTGCATGTTTGCAACAGTTCAATAACATCGTAAGAAATGAACGAGTTTATGAACCATGCGTTGCTTGTTTTGGTTGGCGACGCTGCTGGCGTGTACGTGGCATGTTTAGCCTGCCTTTCTTTTTTGTTTAGGTTGCTCTTAAAATATTGGTCTTCCCATCGGCAAAAAATGGATTCCCAAGCGGAAAAAATCTATTCATTGTATGAAAATATAATATTTCTACCATTTTTGTAATAAAAACATAGCCAAACATATCCCATATATATATATATATATAACAACTGATATAATAACATGAAATAGTTATTATCTACAGTTCCAAACTAATGTGTAAACATCAAACATATCGCTAGTTCATCACAAAACCAATCGGTTCGACCGTTCGCACCGTTGATCTGACAAGTGCTAGAGCCGGACTGGCAGCATGCAACAAATCCACCGAGCCTAGCTCCAAGGAAACGTGAATCGATTCCGTTTCTTCCGAGCCTGGCTCATGGTAGCGTAAGTGCGCGCGCCGTGGCTTGTGCGAGAAAGAGTGAGCACAACTGCGACTCCGAAAGCATGCATGCAACCAAGCAGCTAGTTTGCTCATCTAGTATACACATATACAGTCAATGTTACGTACTACAGGCAGATCTCCTGGTTTGCAAATCAATCGGGCCTTAAGGGCGTGTGTTTGGTTTGAGGAATGAGGTGATCCATCTTTTTCTCACTCATCACTTGTTGTATTTGGTTTGTGGAATGGAACGAGTTGATCCATCACCACTTCATTCCTCACATACTAATAATTAGTATATGCATGAGGAATGAATTGATTCCATCAAAATTTATAGAATGAACTCACGATGTATTACCTCATGAAGCATGGGATGGCACCACAAACCAAACACATCATAAGTGAATTGAACCAGCAAGGTTGAATGTTCATGGTTTTCTGATCCCCTTCAGTTTTGTAGTTTACTGAAAAATTTTAGGCATTGCAATTGGTGAAGATATTTTTTGGTTTCTGACCCTGATAAGAGGCTATTTCTCCTATTTCTGTGTGCAGGGTGGATCCTTCCAAAAAAATCACATAAATGAGGAAACAAACCACGTCATTTTTTTTTTCAAATATAGAACTTTAGAAGCTAGCACTAGCACGACATGCGATCATTTGGTCCTAGATTCTTTTCTGCGTCACGTGTGGAGCAGTCAGTACTCAGTACGGGGTAGTTAGACGCGTGGTGTGCACCTGGTGGCCGAACTTGGTGTTTCGTAGGACAGGCGGGATATTGTGTGGATGTTGCCTGACGTGGAGGCAAATAATTGGGTAGGTGGATACCCTTTGGTACCCTGGGTCCCACTTGATTGATGCTTTTGTCTTCTCCATGATACCGCACGGAAAAATTGTAAAATAAAATTTCTTCATACAGTATGTAAGATAAGGCCGAGTTTGTCTGCTAGGAATAGAGAAAAGACGTTTATGCAGAAAACCGTATGCGCGCTGTTGCTCTCTCTTTAGAGGGAGAAGAGGCCACGTCATCGGGCATGAGGTTGACACGATTTTTTAGGCTTGTTCGCTTAAACTTATCAGCTAGAATCCACGGTATTTTTCTCTCACAATAAAATAGCTTCAGTCGACTTATCAGTCAATTTTAATACCAGCCGAACAAGCCTGTTCGCTTCAACTTATCAGCTAACTTATTAGCGGCATGCGGACTTTTAAGGATCATCTCCTTCTGTGCCTTGCAGCTGTGCTGAAAGTGATGCAAAGGTGCCTAAATATGGTGAGAATGCGCAGGACCATCATCGTATAGCATCTTTTTTCCTTAACAAGGTACTATACGACGTGTCAAAGGACGTATGAATCCTTAACAAGAACTAGTATCTTTTTTTCCTTTGCGAAACATAGGCCCTGTTCGCTTGAACTTATCAGCCGTACCGTTTCAGTGAAATAACAGTGTTTTTCTCTCACAATAAATCAATATCAACCGTTTTTCTAGCCAGCTGAACAGGGTAATAATGCATATAAACAGACACCGTGTACGTACATTTACCCTATGAAACACGGCTGCACACATACACAAGCCAACTCTATCCGAAAAGACTAGGAATACGGTAGATCTTAAGATTAAAGATTAACGAAGTTAACATAAACACCCGATATGTCATTCACTATTTTAAAAAGTAGCATCGTGAAATACTAACTAAATCCAAGAAAATATTGATGCTTTAAGTTTTTTTTTTTTTTTGTTACCGTTCTCGGACATGGCAAGAAAACTTTACTTGGAATTTGGAACTCTGAGGGCTTTCCTTCTCTCCATATTCGAAGCATTTCCAATTTTTACCTCTTGTATATGTAATATAAAAACACACAACTCGTAAGATTCCGATCTACCCTACATGATTAGTAGAAATATAGTGGCAGTTGCGTAGGTGGGGGCTAACCATAATAACCCCAAGGCCTTTCACGAGGCGAAAAGCCGGGCTACTGATTGAGGCCCTACTGTTTGCTGCTTTTCCTCTGGCTCAAGAGACGACAATCGAGTTCAGGGCACTGGTGATACGTTGCTATACTTGAGATGCAACATCAACTTTGATTGAGCCACGGGGGAAAACGAAGAGGTGAAGAACGACAACCATACAATTGGCAAAGTATGGTGGATGCGCCTACTAAAGTAAATTCCAATAGAAAACTTCTTACCAATTTCACATGTATTTCCTCCGTCCTAAATTATGTCATTCTAACTTTTTGATGTGCATAATTTACTATGCATGTAGATATAAGCTACTCTCTCTATCCCTTTTAACCATCGTTTTTCTCACTTACCGAGAAGTCAAATATGTTCAACTTTAACCCAATATATACAAGAAAATACTCTCTCCGTTTCAAATTATAAGTCGTTTTGACTTTTTTGGTTCATCCATTTTGCTACGTATCTAAATATATTATTATACGTAGATGCATAGCAAAATAGATGTACTAAAAAAATCAAAGCAACTTATAATTTAAAACGAAGAGTATTAATTAATATTTATAATACAAAATTAGTACCATTAGATAGATTATTGAATCTATTTTCATAACAAACTGATACAAATATTACTAATATTTTCTATAAACCTAGTTAAACTTATAAAATTTGACCAACACAAATACCATAGCAATACTTGAAAAAGGACAAAGGAGCATGTTTAGATATATAGTAAAACCTATACATCCAAAAAAAATTAAATCTAACTTACAATTCAAAATTCAGCAGAAGACTCAACCAGATTCAGTCAGACGTTAAATAAATGTAAGCAATTCAAAGTATGCATGTCACAATTTGTATATGCATGAGGTCATAGCCACAGTAGCGCTCCAATTCTGGTCTTAGAATATTCAACTGAGCACATGACGATCAATCTAAACGCTCCAATTCTGGGCTTAGAATATTCAACTAAGCACATGATGATCAATCTAAACGCTCCAATTCTGGGCTTAGAATATTCAACTGAGCACATGATCAATCAGACGGCATGCAAAAGAGTGGCAATCAAACAGCCACGGAATGCTTTCCCCAAAAAAACAGCAATGTAATAAACAATATTGAAAATTCCTACATACCACCGCTCTTTTGTTTATAATTATAATAACATTGCCTACTGTTTATTGACATATATCTGACATTACACAGGATACTAATTTCTTTACAACAAGGGTTGGGTTACGCCATAGCTCCCCGTGTGGTGAAGCCAATACATAATACATGCGTTGCATACAAGAATGGCCAGGCACAATGCATGATATAATCACACAAAAATCGCATTTGCTGGGGCACAAATTTGCTCTTGTTAACTATGTAGCCTACAGAAGTTGGGCACTGCCAAATGGGTTGTGTTGCTGATGGCCGCTGTTCGCCACTGGGAATGCCCCGAAGCCAGAATCCAGAAAGGGATTGTTTGTTGCAGGGCCCATGCCCATCTGTGGCTGCATAGGTGGTCCAAAGGGATTTGGTTGCATCATCGTGGGGATCTGCGGATGCTGCTGAGACATGGCAGCCATTTGAACTGATGGTGGGGGAGCAACTTGGTTTGACATGGCGAAAGGATCATTTGTCATGAATGGATTAGGTGCTGCTGAACCATACAGCTGTTGCTGTTGCCTCTGCCTGTAGGCCCCATCATCATAAAGGCTGTCCAAAATGAGCTTGTCGAATCCACCACCCTGTAAAATGAGGCCAGAAGTTTATTTTGATTGAACACAGCTCGCAATGGCACAAATTGTCAAATTGTATGAAAAACTGTTGCTATGATTCAATGCTTAGCCTGCTAAACTGGCTAAATTGCATTCTAGAATACCAATCAATTAGTTCAAGTGCTCAAGGTATACTACTACTACTACTTCCGTTCCAAATTGTAGGTCAATTTAGCTTTTCTAGAGTGCATAGTAAAAACTATGTACCTTGAAAAGCCAAAACGACTTATAATTTGGAATTGAGGGAGCATTTCACAAGGTGCACATGGTCAGCCAAACATGCAATTAATGTCATTGGCATCACCATGCAGTCTAGAGCTACTCATTATGGGTGTAACGCAGGGCATAAGACCTATGCATGTTTATCTTCACAAACGCTGTAGTGCAGACAAGGGGGCTACTCATTATGTTTATCTTCAGCCAAGAATCCATAACACTGATCTGAACTTATCCATGCGGTTAGGCACTCCACACTCTTCAAATAAGGGGAAAAGGAAAGTAAGACTAAATATGCTCCGTATGATGTATGGGCCACAGCAATACTGAGTACATCAAGCGATGTGGCCTTGATCCACGGAACAACCTTGCACAGGGCATAAATTGTCTCCAGAACATATGCCTACAGAAATGTTGCAACAAAGTTTTGACCAAAATGTATGGATTTACTAATAGGACGACTGAAACATCATACTAAATAGTGCTGATGATGTGAGGGACGTGCAAATATAGCAGCTGTGACATATTCAGATGCCACAGCATTTCAACATGCAATGGAAACATAACACATCATAAAAACTGATATGAAGGTTAACGAAACAAACCAATTGACCGACAGAAGAAGATGAAGTTGTGTTGCTCGGTGCGGTAACAAGGGCGAGTTCCCATCCTGTAGGATCAAACCCCTTATCTTGAAATGCAGTGTTACCAGTTGTTGAAGCACCATCTGATAAAGATGCAAAAAGAATCGACCGCTTAATGAAAGATCCTTTACAGGTACTTAACATGTGCTAGGAATTAGAAGTAACAGACTACCTGTTGGAACAATAGCCAAGGCAAGAGCATTGCTTTCCTCTATAGCTGATACAGCAGGATTTGGATCATCTAAGCCCTATGAGCAAACAAAAATTCAGATTGTAGAAACAAGCACATAAGGTTTAGACCATAATATTAATGTGTTATTTTACCCACCAGTAAGTCACCAGTATCGGCCACCTCAGTCTTGGGAGGAGGTGAAACAACTTCAGTAACAGGTGGTACCGGAACAGGTTCTTCAACTGGTGCCTTTTCCTCTTCAACAGGAGCAGGCTCAGGAATTTCCTCTGATTCTTCAGGTTTGTAAGTAAGAAGAAGCCTCTCAGGAAGTTCCTGATGAAAAAATAAATAAATCAACCTTATTCCAGTACTCAGAAGAATACCAAATATGAGAAATAAACCACAGAATCTCAAGTTGGTCAATACAAGGTTGAGTGTGAAATTTAAGTTTAGTAATAGAAGCAAATGAAATAATTAGTTGGTGTGTAGACCTATAATTGAAACAAGAGAATAAAGGAAAAACGGTGAAGAAATTATGAAGGTTTAAGCTACAGCAATGTGTGCTTGAATTCAAGCTATATATATTTTCACTAAAGCAATCTTGTTACCTAAAACAGAAAATAAAAACAGCCATGTGATTTCCCAATCCCAATTGCATAAATAGACAATAAATAATTAAACAAGAACAAGAAAAAAATATTTTTAATCACAAGCAAGTTGGGGTAGGATAAACTGCAAGATATCAAATCCAACAATTGAGTACACATAAACAGAAATTTTATACAAATGATATCGCCCAATCACTAACCAGGGGTTCTCGAATTGGGACCATGCGTGGAGCCTCCTTCACATAATCCTCCATAGTTGCAAGAAATGTTTGTGGTGGCTGAGAATTTCCCCTCATAAGATGTCACAACATAATCCAGTGCAAATAGTCAAGACTAGACAGACAGTACAAGTCCTCACCTCCCTCAGAGTGGGAAACTGAAAATTCCTAGCAAGTTCTAAACCCCGGCAATTCTCGTAGAAATCAGATAGACTCCCAGCCTGAAATGTGTCAAATAACCTAAATAAGAGCAGCGAAAACACACAGTGTTTTGATCTTTTTAAATCTTTGGAATACTTCAATGATCATCCTCTTCTGGACTCTGGAGTTACCTGTTGGCCAGCCCTTCTGTAGATTTCAAGAGCTTTAAGTGCTTCATGTCTTGGCATCTCAAAAAACTAGACAAAACGAAAACCAACATAAGTGCACAATGTCAGCCATGCGCAAGAAGATATTTCCACATGAAAACTATCCTTTACCTTATCAACAAGGTTGATAATTCCATCATTTATCGCACAATAAATTTTAAAGCTTTCTTTTAGCACCTGTGCAAAATATAGCCATAATATGAGGTCAAATCAACTATTAAAGCATGAAACAAATACAGAATATTATTTACTATTTAGCAATTCAATGACAGTTTCCAAGCAGGAAAAAATAGGGGCACAATTCAATACTTCTATAGGGTAGATTACTTTCACATATCAATGAATAATAATATAACACAAGCTTTCATGGATGCTTCAGAAACAACAAACATGGAGCATTGAAGGAATCCCAGCAGTAAACATAGGTAATTTCAGGAAATATTTTCTTATCGTCCAGGATACGTATCATAGATATGATACAAATAATAAACAATAGAAATTGTACGCACTATAGTTATAGCAGAAAGAATTGCTCTATTTTCAGTTTTCCACCAACATCATTTTGATAGGTTGAAGAGACAAGGCTGACATATTTGTTTAAAAATCAGAATTATATAAGTTTAAAAATAAATAGTGCTTTCCTAGCCTAAAATAGCAGACATGTCACACTACACCACAAATAAATCGAAACAAAAAACAGAGCTTACCAAAGCTAGAGCGTATTGCACCAAGTAGTTATTATTTGCAGCTCCTTCAGGCTACAGAGGGGGCAACAAAGTTATGTTATGTTTCAAGTAAAGGAAAGAAAACAAAACAAATGAGAAGGAGCTAGCAGACTAGATAGCCAAAAGTTAAAAGAGATAATCACCCGACATCCAACAAGTCGGTATAGTAACTGCTGCAATGCTGGCAGCTGCTCTAACAGATCCTGTGAATCCAACTCTCTTGTTCTACTGTGACCCTGATGGCAAAAAGAGAATTAGTTGACGAATTAATTAGTAAACTGGAATTGGTACTGAAATTAAACACAGTTGCAATCCTCAAATTTAATCATTTGCAGGCTTGAAGTACCAAACTGAGATGCAATGTTTCAAACCTTTTCAGGACCTTGACCTTGTTTGGACAAATGCTCAGCTTCGACATCATACTTCAGAACTCTGAAGCATTCCAACCTTTCCTCCAAAAACAAACCATATGTGCGCACCCAGGCAGAACAATCCCAAGCTGCACAGAACTCGGTATCAGAAAACAAGGAAATCATGAGATGATAAGCAGGGTAGGAACAATTTTCTACCAAGCCAGAAATTCTAACCAATTGGACTGGAGTCATCCTTAAAGTTTGAAAGTTGCAGAATCCGTCCCCTTTGTGTAAAGTTAAGAAGCTCTTCTCGAAATGTAGGATCACCCTCGCGAAGAAGTCTATGGATTACTACAAGTGTTTTCAGAGCAACCTACATGTCACAAAATATAGATAAAATTAATTACAACAACAACAACAACAACAAAGCCTTCCCAAACAAGTTGGGGTAGGCTAGAGTTGAAACCCAGCAGATGAATTAATTACCAGCATATGAATTAAGAGAAGAATTTTAAGATTGTCTCGCAACTGCAACATTTAGCTTTGCTAATCATTCACGAAGAACCTTGAATGGAAATACTAGTTACTACCAAAAGAGAACCAATCATTTTCAAACAATTATCACAAGAATTACATAAGCTAGATCCAAAAGGTTCAACGCATAACAGAATGTAACTATTAATTTCCTTCAAAGCCCCAATTAACATAACTCAGGAAACTACAAACAACCGATCTACTAATCTAGTATACACTGAAACACTATATTTCCAAATGAAACAAGGCATTGCAACTTCTGCTATCCACTTGTAAATCTTTGATAAGAACATACCAGAAATAGTGCAGGTTACATTTCAAGTCACAGATTTTCATCTCAGATCATAAAAAATATTAACTCAACTAGGGTATCAACCATAAGTAAGACTTTTTTTTTCTAGAACACGCAGGAGATCTGTGTAAACGCAGGAGATCTGTGTATCTTTGTATTAGAGATGAGAGAGAGAAACGTCCCATACAACACAACCCTCATATACTGGAGAATAAGCAGGGGACGCCTTATAAAAGACTAGAAGAACCACAAACACCTGAAACAGAAAATCAAGGAATGAATAGCCCTAGCCCCTGACCTATGCCCAATTCCTTAAGCTTTCTAGCTCCAGCCAAGGCCCTAAATTCTCATCTCCTCCATATAAAATACAGATAGGCCATTGAGAGAGGGGGGAAGCACCATCAAAGACAAACTTGTTTCTGTGGATCCATAATGTCCAAGCACCTAAAATGACAGCAATGTTATGCTAGCCTTATCAATATTATGGCTAGCTTTCCTCCAACAATCAGCAAACCTCACTCCATAGTGCTAGATGATTAACAAGCAGCATATTGTGTGTTGTAATGTTATTTGGATGAATCAAGTAAACTGTTCACGCTTGCTCACCCAATGCTCAGCATTTTATTTAAACAAATCAAGGCTTTGTTCATGCTTGCAAACAACTTAACAGAAATTCCACATCTCATCAGGGAAATATATCATCGATAATATGATGACATACTAATGTGCAGCATGTTCGCAAAAGGGAAATCCAATTAAAATTACACCCAAAAACAATTAAATCTCGAGAGTAAGCACAAACAAGGAAAATTTTCATGTGAGCATAGAACTTACAATCCAGTTGCGGGTCTTGGCAAGACGGCGGGCAAGCGCATGGATGCAGTAGGCGACATCCGCCCGAGGCCTGGCGATGGACGTCGCCGCAGCAACCTCTGCAACACCACCACACACCAATCAACCATCATCAAACACTGCACGAAACCTAGAAGCACACACGCCCTTCCCTTCTTCAGAGCCTCCCCTCCCCACTTAGCCCCCCCTCACCACTCAGAGACACGATCTAATTCCGCCCACCCCCATAAACACTAAATTAGGTCGAAGCCTAAATACGCGGAAACATTGGGTATAAAAATGAATCAACGCACTGCGCAGGTGTCGCTCCTTGGGCGGGCACTCCACGTGGTTAGTAGCCTTCACGATCGCCACATCCAGATCCTACAAAAGCAAGCAGACACCAATCAAAACCCGCAGATCCGAGGCTGCTCCGCGCCCCAGCACACCACCGGCTCGCCTAGTAGACGGAGATACTAGGGTTTGGGAGCAACTGCCAAACTTAGGTCGGGAAAAAATCCCGGCAAAATCGGGGGAGAAGACACCGGATCGAAGGCGCACCTTGAAGTCCGAGTTGAGATTGGCGAGGCTCACGGTGGTGGTGTCCTTGATGGCGCCGTAGGCCTTGCGCCAGCTCTGCATCGACGCCATTTCCTGGGCGGCCCGCTTCGTCCTCCTCGCCGCTGTTCTCCTCTTCTGGTTCCGGGGGTGGACGCGTATGATTCGGGTTTTTTCTATTTCCTCCTCAGGGTGGTTTTGCTGGCGTGTAAAATTTCGCCGGCGGGAGGAGTAAAAATGAACCAGGCGAGGCTGCTTTTTGCGATGTTGCGTACGAGAGCGGGTGCGTCTGTAGTGATGACTTCCCTCTCGTGGTTTACGAGCGGAAGGTTCGAGGCTTGAAGAAGGCTGCGTCCCGAAAAGATGCCTTACATTTTGCATTAAACCCCTCCGACCTAGCAGAAATGTGTTTTTGGTTTATGCATGGGCATTCGCCACGTTTGCTTCGCTTATAAGCCGTATTTTTTTAACCCAACGAATATTATTTTTCTCTCACAATAAATCAGCCAATAGTACTGTCGGGTTCATAAACCCGGGGTCTCTCGCGGACCGGCTTCCCAACAAAGACTCGGCCCAAACAGACAAACACGTAACTCATGGGCCGGCCCAAGAGTCTGAACAATAGGCTAGAAGGGTAATCCAATCACCGACGGAAGGTCTGGCCAACGAGGAATGGCACCCGCCTTCTGACTCCGGAGCACCTCTCCGATCGGAGCGCTCGCTTCGGTCTCCAGCACGCCTCCGGGTGGTCTCTCCGACCGAAAGGCCTGGCAAAACACTACCTCCGACTTCGACTCCACGTCTCCGACCAGGGTATGCAAAGGCCCTGCTCACTGCTTTTCTCCGACTGTTGCAACCGGAGCCGACTGGGACCGATCGACCGGGGACGTCCGCTCGAAAAAGACCATGGAACGGATGGAGAAGGCAAGACAAGGCGCACAAATCAAACCACAATACCAGGGACTGTACCCTGTACACCTGTAGAAACAGTATTCTGCAACCTCCCTAACACAAATAGTATTGTGAGCGTCGATATTTTCCTCTACAGTATTGTGGGCGCCATTAACTCCCATACGGTAAGGCCCTCCACATGTCTCTAGACATCGATAGTGTTGTGAGCGCCGGCATTTACCGTACCGAGCGAATTTGGTGAAACTCCTCACATGCCTCTGGGCATCAACAGTATAGCAGGTACCGACATCTGCCATACCCGAACAAAACGATGAAGCCTCCCACATGTATCCGACATCCAACAGTGTTATGAGCGCCTACCATCATCCCGTACTCAACGGCGTAGGCAACAAGACTTAGAAACATACGTACTCTCTCCCTCTCACTTATAAGGCCATCCCTTCACCTATAAAAGGGGATGTGCTCTCTCTCGACATGAAGGTTAAGCCAGTTCAGAAAGTTTAATTTAGATTCATTAGATCGACCAAGTTCACCAGTTCACAACCACAAAACCGCCAGGTTCGAACCCCAAGCACACGCTTGAACACTTAGCTCATAGCGGAGCTCCTGCCGCTCTTGGCCCTTCCGACCGGAGCCCAGCCGGACCTCTTATACCCCCCATCTTTCTCCTTCTCATTTGTAACCCCATTACAAACTTCTAGCACCTAGGCTCAGGAATAAAGTCACCGACCGACTCAAACTGGACATAGGGCACGAACCAGTATAAACCATGTGTCATTGAGTGCTAGGCCACCTCCGATCATAACGTACGGCAAAACTATAAATATTTACTTGTTGGTCACTTTCTGCACCGACAGTTGGCGCCGTCCGTGGGGAGGACGCTATACGTTCAACACTTTTTGGTCATCGGATGGCCCACTTTTTCGCCACCTTCGCCATGGCGGGCTCTGGCGATACGATTCGCTTCGGCTCACTGGAGTTCCCGTGCTCCCACTTGTTGGGACGTGGGTTTCGCCCGTCTTCGAGCCATCCTAGGCCTTCCTCCTCAAAAGCCTAGACTTCGTCGCCGACCGGCTCGGCGTACTACACCTCCGCGAGGAGGCACTCGTTCCGGCACCCATCGAAGGGGCCCCCTCCATCGACTCCGGGATGCACGACTTCGACGACGTGGCATCCGCGCTTCATTCCGAGCAAACTCTCTGCTCAAACCCCATTGTGAGTAATTTACATGCTGTTATTTACTTGCTATTTTCTATCTTTCGCCAATTACCCGGAGGGACGCCATTATCCCCGTCGCGACCGCCATACGACCGGTTCTCCTACGGCCTCACGTCTCCCGCGGACGCGTACGCTCGGGGGCTCCGAAGGATGCCGACACCACCCCCTCTCATGTCCGAATTCGTGGGGATGGTGAGCTATGCTCCCACTTGTTTTCTCAACCTCATGGATGACGATGTTGAGAGTGACGGCTCCAGCATCGGCGACGTGGCGCCTAGCCACCGTCCGTCCCGGGAGTGCGCTATGGCAGACGCTCTAGGACAGCCACCGATGGTAACGCAGTCCTTGCAGACTCACGCCCCTCCGGATCCTCATGCGGAGACCCTCGAGCTCGCACGGGAGCACGACGAGGAACTGAAAACTCTAGTTTGGTTTTGGTGAATTAATGAAACCCTAAGTGCTAACCTAGTTTATCAAGTGATCATGATATAGGTAGCACACTCCAAGTGGTGAAGCAAATGAAGATCATGACATAATGATGGTGATGCCATGGTGATGATCAAGTGCTTGGACTTGAAAAGAAAAAAGAGAAAAACAAAAGGATCAAGGCAAAGATATAAATGGTAGGAGCCATTTTGTTTTGGTGATCGAGACACCTAGTGAGTGTGATCACATTTAGGATCGATAGCCGTACTATTAAGAGGGGTGAAACTCGTATCGAAATGCGGTTATCAAAGTGCCACTAGATGCTCTAACTCATTGCATATGCATTTAGGATCTAGTGGAGTGCTAACACCCTTGAAAATGTTTGTGAAAATATGCTACCACATATGCACAAGGTGATACGCTTGGTGGTTGGCACATTTGTGCAAGGGTTAGGAACTTTACCAGCGGAGTGTCCTCCCGTAGAGTGTGGACAGTCTGACGGTGCCACCGACGTCCTAGATAGAAAAGACAGAGGCCACAGTAAGTGACCGGACGCTGGTCTCTGTAGGACCAACGCGTCCGGTCAGGTGAAGCATGAAGACGCTAGCATCGGTCTCTGATCGGACGCTGGGTCACTAAGTGACCGGACGCTAACAGGGTGCGTCCGGTCCAGCTGACGTGGCAGCGCACAGAAGAGTCACCGTGTGACCGGACGCTGGGTGAGTCCGGTCGTAAAAAGTTGTCTCTAAATGCTTACTAGAAACGACCGGACACTGGGGTTCAGCGTCCGGTCACTTTGAGCTGCTGTGTCTGGTCATCACTTGACCGTTGAGATCTGGCGATCAACATTTGAAGACAGGGGACATGTGGCACGCATCGCGTGATCGAACGCTGAGGTCCAGCGTCCGGTCAATATGACCGGAGCGTCCGGTCACCCCATGTTGTGCTCAGTGAAGGGGTACAACGGCTCTATTTCGTAGGGGCTTCTATTTAAGCCCCATGGCCGGCTCTAGCTCACTCTCTAGCCATTTACATTGACATAGCAACCTTGTGAGCTTAGCTAAAGCCCTGCCACTCATCTCCATCATTGATTCATCATCTTTGTGAGATTGAAAGAGAATCCAAGTGTATTGCTTGAGTGTTTGCATCTAGAGGCACTTGATGTTCGTGTTTCGCTATGGGATTCACTTGTTACTCTTGGTGGTTGCCGCCACCTAGACGGCTTGGAGCAGCGAGGATCGTTGAACGAAGGGTGGTGATTGTCTCTGGCTCCGATCGTGGTGATTGTGAGGGGTTCTTGACCTTTCCCCGATGGAGAGCCAAAAGGTACTCTAGTGGATTGCTTGTGGCTTGTGTTATCCTCATCTTGTGTTGGTTGTGCGACACCCTATTAAGGGTTTGGCATGTGATGCCAATTGGCGCGTGAACCTTCAAGTGAGTGAATCGCCACAACGAGGAGTAGCTTGCCGGCAAGCAAGTGAACCTCGGTAAAAAATCATTGTGTTATCATTTGATTCCGATGTGATTGGTCTTTATTGTTATTCATTCTTGAGATTGATTGGCTCCTTCCTCGATACGGCAGTATAACCATCTTGCTCACTCTCTTTACATTATTGCAAACTAGCTGTCAACCTCTTTAATGTAGCTAGTTATGAGAGCTTGTTAGTTTGGTTAGTGTGGCTCTTTAGTTAGCTTTTGAGAGCACACTAACTTAGTATAGTGTCATAGCTATTGTATGGGTAGAAACTATATTAACTATAATTGTAGAAGGTGGCTTGCTATTTTAGTAGGCTAGCGCAACACTTCCTTCGCCTCATAATTATCTAACCGGTTTGGTAAGTGTTGTTGTAGAAATTTTTAATAGGCTATTCACCCCCTCTAGCCATTAGGTCCTTTCAGGAACCACGACAACAATGGCTACACCAGCCACCGACTGTGCCAGCGCGCTCGGCGCACCACATGGCGCCCCGTGCGCATAGACCGGCGAGCGGCGCCTGGGGTCGCGCCCGTCGGGTCTAGCGCAACACTATGGACAGGGGGAATGATCCTCCACAGTTCGCTTGGGCCAATTAGAACATCGCCACCGCGGCAATGCTTCTACGCGGCCTCCCCGAGCCGAACGACACTCAAAAAAAGGCGATCCACCGAAACCTCCGGGCACTAGTATCGCGACACCGACTCACGGCCTCTCTCCCCACCAGGGGAATAGGGACGTAGCAGATGAGTCGTTCCACCCGCTCACCGCTACAACTGTCGAGTGCGGCACAAGAGGTCGCACCAGCGCCTCATCTTGACTTGACGAACGCTCCGCACCGACCTCCTGCATACGCACAGCTCGGGCCGAACCGAGACGCACGCAGCGGCGACCGGAGCTCAGCCCTGATGGCCTAGGAGCACAGAACTTTGTCCAACGCCTCCAGCTCCCACCACTCCCGCCGCGCTCCAACAGAGGCCGAGGCAAAGGCAAGGCCAAGCGCCAGGATCAAGACGAGGGCCCCTCCACGTAGAAGGAGAAAAAGAATAGAAAAGATCACCGC